CAGAGCTGAAAGGGATCCGTTTGGTCTAGTGCCTCACTTTACAGATGGAGAAACTAAGGCCCAGAGAGGTGGGAAGGCTGCACCAGGCCACATGTGTGGTCAGGTGGAGCCAGGACTAACACCCTTCTTGGACTTCTGTCACATGCTCTTCTTGGTCCTCTTCACTCGGTGGGTGACCCGGGACCAACAACGGTCCTTGTCTTCTCAGAGCCTTCTACTGAATGGAAAGACCCAAACAATTTCAGGCTCCAGTCTATAAGGCACACCAGTCAAGGGGACATTGGCCCTTACATTTAACTAGCAGGGAGTTCCCTGTCAGTTCCAAAATCTTACAACTTTAATCATTTAAAAGTCCTTTTTGGTGTCTGTCCCAAAATCCCGCTTGCTCGATATTCTTCCTCATGTGTGTTTTCTTTGTGGATGCGGAGGACGGAAGGTGACTCTGTCTGTGGTTTAATATCCTTCAGCACACGTGGAACACGCTCCCAGCCCCTCTCCAACTCTTGCCCTCGGGTTTTCTCTGGTCTGTGCTGACACCGTTGACTCTTTTTTTTTTTTTAATTTAATTTTATTATGTTATGTTAATCACCATACATTACACCATTAGTTTTTGATGTAGTGTTCCATGATTCATTGTTTGTGCATAACACCCAGTGCTCCACGCAGAATGTGCCCTCTTTAATACCCATCGCCAGGCTAACCCATCCCCCCACCCCCCTCCCCTCTAGAACCCTCAGTTTGTTTCTCAGAGTCCATAGTCTCTCATGGTTCGTCTCCCCCTCCCATTCCCCCCCTTCATTTTTCCCTTCCTACTATCTTTTTTTTTTTTTTTTTAACGTATAATGTATTATTTGGTTCGGAGGTACAGGTCTGTGATTCATCAGGGAGGGTATGTGCTATGGTGAGAGCTGTGAATTGTGTAAGACTGATGAGAGACACCATTGACTCTTGAAAAACTCAGGGCAGATGCAAAGGAAGAAGCGGGTCTCAGGGGTCAGAGTCAGAACCACCCCTGGTTCTGTTCCTGCATTTGTCCGGCCATCAGCCTTTTCCTGGACGGAGCCTCTGTGGCACGCCTGGGACATCAGCCAACCCTGATGACCCTGGGACCAGTCAGGGAAATACCTGTCTCTCCCCGAGCCTCAGGCACCACCACCCAGGCCTCAGGCATGGCCCCTGCCCCTGCCCCTGCCCTTCTTAGCATGAGAGAAAAGAATACTAAAAAGAAAATCGTTCCAAATTAGAGCAGTAGAAGTAACATAAGAATCTTCAGAAGTGTTGGACTATTTAATGTTTTTAGGTGCTATCTCAGGAGCCTGCACAGACCAAGACTAACCTCAAAAGATGTTTCATGCCGGCCCAGCCCCAGGATAACCTTCCTTTTAGGCTGTAGGCTGTATCCCCCTCCCGTGGAGTTCACCACCCATTGCCTTCTCTGGCCCTCCCTGGTGTTGGCTTTTCTCTGCGCAGACGGTAAACCTTGGAAGACCCCAGCTCACATCCCCTTCGGGTGCAATGCTTCACCGAGCACTGGTTTCAAAAGCAGACTTCTAAGTGCTGGTTGGGTTTAGTTGCTTGTCTTCTCTCTTGCATCCTGTATCACTAGGATGGACTAAAGGTTAGAATAAGCAGCCCCTGCTTTTCAGTCATGGAACGTTAAGAGCAAATTATTTCCCCCTTTAAGTCAAGTTACATTGGCAGGTGGGGATTCCGGTTAACACATGGGAGATTTTTGTGGGCCAGGCCCGGAAATGGTGTTTTTTTACACCCACACGCCATTGGCCAGAACGGGGTCACGTGGCCACACCTAACCACGAGGGAGGTTGGGAGATGAAGTACAGCTGTGAGCCCAGGTGGCAGAGGAAGCAGGTTGCGGTGAGAGCATTTAGCGGGCTTGGCGCCGCAGCCTTCCTACCCTCTTCTCTGCGCAGCCACCTTCGGAAGCTCTGTTCATACTTTCTTGGCGATGGGCCGTAACTCTGTACCTCTCCTTCGTCTGTCACCAAGGATATGCTGCTCCTGGGATGAGGTCCTGTCTTCCCCAACTACACTGGCAGCTCCTTGAGCACAGACGTTCTCCTCCATCCGTGCCTCTGTAGCATCTGAGGCCACCAGGGATGCCCCAGGGAGGTCCCGCCCCCCCTCCCTGGGAAGCACTCTCGGGATCACTTTTTGAAAATGGAGACTCAGGGACCCCCGCCTCAGAGTTACTGGGTCCTGAACCTTTGCCGGTAGGACCCTCGAATCTGCTTTAATCCAGGTGATGATCCTATTTACTGAAGTCAGGGAGCTACCTGTTTAGGAAATACTTAGTAACTTCAATTAAAATATGAGATGGCGTTTATCACAGATTCCAGAGGGTCACACAGCTAAGTAGAGACAGAACCGAGGACTCAGGGCCCCTGGGTCCCCTGGGTCCCTGTTACCCTCACCATGACCTGCTGAGCGAGGCTGTCGGAGTGGCGGCCCTTCGCCATGGTGAGTGGCACGTGGTGTGGAAGCATCCGAACTGTGAGCCGAGTCCTGGCTGGTCACGGCAGCTCCAGCTATGAACTGAGGAGCATGGCCAAGTCACTTCATCTCTCCAACCTCGGGTCTCCATCGTTCTTTCAGCAAGAACCCTTGTGAAAGGAGCCTGTCTTGATTTTCTTCCCCGAGGGTCCCTCCTCTGCACGGGAGCAGATCCCTCTCACCACCTTTTCACGGAGCTGGTGGGGAGTTTAGGTATTGCCTACCGGGCTCTAAGCTGTAAGGACTTCCGTAGGGAGGGGTCAGGAAGAGGACCTGCCTGGCTGGCACGTGTCCCCTCCTCTAGGACTGTTTGTGACTTACTCAAGACATTCTCACCTCTGCGTTCCAGATGCCTCCCCTCCGGCCCACCCCTTCCTGCCTCACCGTGTTAGACCATTTATCCTGACTTAGCTGGCTTTACCCTATGAAGCAGTTCCAGTTCCAGTTCCAGTTTGGGGCACATACAACGTCATCCGCCCGAGGAGTTTAAGGAGAAAGGAAGAAAGATCCCACACTAGAAGCAAAGCCTGAATTCCAGCTCTTAGTTCACAGTGCCAGGTTGGACTCTGGATCCAGCTCCCAGCCCGTGAGCTAGAAAGGGTAGCCCCCACTGGGCTCAGCCTGGGTGCCCAGGAGCCTGGGTCCCCTTCTTTCTTCCGCTTCCGACTCTCCAGGTAATCCACACCTGTGCACTTTCTGGCTTTGGGATCGTTCTGTATGGAGGACCCAGAGCTGTCCTCCTCCAGAGCCTCAGTTTCCTTTTCTGGATGGCTCAATCTACCCATAAAAGAGCACGGGGACCCCAGGCCTCGCCTGGCATGTTACCTGGGAGACAAGAGGACCAGATAAATTTGCCAAGAATCAAGAGCACTGAGTTTCTGGGGCCAGGAGGAAGAAGGGAACTGTAGCGGCAGAAAACCTCGACTCATGGGGCCTATGGCTTCTCTCCACGGCGCTTTCCTGACATCCTCTCTCTTCTTTTCTCCC